CTTTTTGGAATTTCAAGAAGCTCATTTTTCAATATTTGCCGAATAGAATATTGCAATATGTTCAGATCACTAACCATTTTTGGGCCACTGCGACGCGGGTTTCGATGAAGTCGCTTCTTTACTTTTCGAACCATTTCTGTTGATGTTTGCTCCCGTCCACTTCCTTGACGTCGGACTACGCTACTACGCTATTATCACGGTAACGAGCGATGGTACGAGACATAAAATATTTATTCACATTTGAATGCTGAGCTCTAACGATAGCCACTTGTGGTTTTACAGCCAAATATAGAGAAATCGTACTATCACGCTTGAATTCCATCACGAATAACTTTTTTCTGGAAAATTCTCACCAAAATGCTTTCGTACGCTTGTAAACAATATAATGAGCTGCAAGTGGAATAATTTTAGCAGTTGTCGGACGAGTTGCTTAGAAATAACAGCAGTCTGAAGTTGATTTCAGTTTTTTCATCTCACCCTGTACGTAAGACCGTTTTGATAATGCGGCTACAGGAAAACGTATGTTCCGCCACAGCAGCTAGAACCTATTACAGACTATAAATACCAATTTTTGGACAGATACGTGGAGAAATGTGGAGAAAATTATCAAAAATCCGAATATACGGAGGTACCGTAATTGTGACGAAAATCATCAAAATACCAAATATCTGGAGGTACCAATATGTGGCAGCTATACCAAAAGAAGGACCGATATATCTCATTTTCAATACCAATCATCCTATACACAATACAATTTGTTCTGCCAAATTTTGGTTGTATCGTGATTTCAACAGACAGACAGACAGACGGTCATCCTTAAATCGACTTAGTATTTTATGCCGATGATGAATACAGGGTTGTCCATATTCGACGGACCCATCTGGCAACGCCATAACTTTTGACAGAGATGTCACATCGCTTAATGACATACCGAGTTTGAAGCGTCAGTCCAAGAAGATTTTTACCATGAACCAATACACGCCACGCAAGCGCTCTGAAATAGTTGAAATTTACATTCAACAGAAGAAGTCAATTGTGAAAACTCAACGTGCTTTTAAAACATTAAAAAATGTGAGAAGTGCGCCTTCTAAGAACACCATTAAGCGTTTAGACGAAAAATTTTCGTCTGGTAAGGCTCTTTCTAATCCGAAGAGGCCATATAGAAGTCGACCAAGGCGATCGGCCGAGAATATCGCTGCCGTACGAGCCAGTGTTGAGAGGTCCCCAAGAACATCCCAAAAAAGCCGTTCTCAGCAGTTGGGCATGGCTCGGTCCAATTTACAACGGATTATTCACATTGATTTGCATTTGTTCCCGTACAAAATTCAATTGACGCAAAGAATGTTGCCTGCGAACAAGCCTCGTCGATTGGAATGGGCCCAAAGAGTCATCGGGTCCGTCGAATATGGGCAACCCTGTATGTATATACTTTATGTGGTCTACGACGAATATTTAGGGATGTTATAATAATATAATAATATTTATATTCAAGGTACCAATGCCAACATTTCAAAACTCCAGCTGCATTCATTCACCAAAATGCCAAATTGTACCAAATTTAGTACACCTCTTATTCTTAGCGCACATTTTCTAGTGGCTTCCTAAACTTAGTACTAAAACATTTACTGCTACTAATGCTAATAATAATAGTAATACTAATGTTAATAATAATAATATTAATACTATATTAAAATGGCCACTCGGAACTATTAATCATAAACCAAAAGAATCTTAATTTTCTGACATTTGCATCCTTTTCCCTAAGACTTCAATTTCATGGTTCATAATAGAGACAGAACAAATATGAAACTACAATGCTCCCAAATGAAATTCCAGGGATGTCCATCATCACAGAAAATGCTAATAAAAAAGAAAATGACATTACCATACAGAACGTAACAATTAAGTATTTAATTGGCTTCAAAGTATTTTCACATCGGCATTGAAAATGTTCATGTGGAAATTCCTCCTCAATAAAAGGACTATTCAATTTCAAGATGCCTGAATAAAAGATGTATAGAAATGAAATATTTCCAATAAAAGAGCTATTGTGGAAAATGACAATATGCATATACATATGCTGAGGTATGTCGCACAAAATGTATTGAATGCTATCCTCATTGAATACTAAGCAATATTGTTTTTTTTTTTTTTTTTGTACTCCCCTGTGTTTGTGTGGAAATGAATTAAATTACAATAATAAATATTTTTAATATATTTATATTGAACATTGTTATTGCAATTTTCGTTTAATTTTTATGATGGAATTATTTTTATTAATTTTAGTAATCTTCTTGTTATTGATTTTTGGCACTACAACCCTTGCATAAATAATATACATGTGAATGTGTGTGTGTGTTTATGTAAATACTCATCGGAATTGTTTTTATCCCTCCTTTTATCGAATACAAAATTCCCTGTAGATTTTATTTGGACATCTGTACGTATTATTTGAATTGAAAACTTATCAAATGCCAAGAGCAATGTCAAAGGACAAAAACAAAACCAATCAACATGAATGAATGAAAATGAATACGAATAGTTTAAATGAAAATTTCTTTGCAATAGATTTTTCTATTTGTTTTTCTCTTTAGATTGTGTTCATATGTGTATAGGTTGTCTTAATCAATATTAATATTGAAATAAATGAAAATTGTGTTCAATTGTTTTTGTTTGTTTTTTTGCACACCCACACGCAACTTTTTGTGGGGAGAACATTTATAAATCTATTGTTTAAAGTTTTACTCTTTTTCAGCCGACGCATAGAGGGAAGAAATCATAAAAAACGGAGATTAAATAAAAATAAAAGTTATTTTTTGGAATAACTATTTCCACACGTTTATAGAACAAGAAATTCTATTTCACTACCGAAAATCGCAAAGTCGTTCGTTGTTTAGTTTTCTACTCAATTATGTTTCGTTTACAGATTACCGGATTTATTAAACTGAGTAGATGTAAATTGGCAAAGCGATGAAAAAACTGCAACAAATTCAAATTAAATTTTTTTTTTAATTTTATTGAATGAGGGCAACAAATTTCGGAAATAGCATCAAATTTTGAAATAAATTTAGCTTTGTTCGAATTGGTCACTTTTGGCACGAGTTATGTCCTCAAACGGTCAAACGCTGCCCGAATGTTGCTCTGCGGTATTTTGGCCCATTCCCGGCGAACCGCTTGACACCGCTGATCGACACTTTTGTATTTTTTGAGGTAGATTATAAAATTTGCAATGTAAACACTTCTACTTAAGCTCTACTTTATAATCTGCTGGATTGTTCATATCATTATCAAAAAATAATAATTTAGTGCACAGTTTCAATAAATTGATTGCACTTCCAAATCATTGTGCCATTTCCATGTTTTCAGATCTCCCTGAAATTTTATAAAAACTTTGTGAAAATGTCAGCTTAAATATTTGTGGAGAACATTAAAATACTTCACAATTTTTATACCCTCAGCCATATGGCAAGAGGGTATATATAGTATTTGATACGGCCAACACGTGCCTCATCAAAATAATGGTTTTAGATCCTAGGTATCTTTGGACCAAATCCGTTTCAGGACATTTGGAAATGGTCACAATTTTTACATATGAAATTTATAATTTCGCATAAAATTGGATAAAAATGTTTGATTTACTTGTAATTTTGCCCATACCAATGTTTGTATCTGTACTAGATGAAGTATGGAAATGACATTCTTCGATCGACTATATTTCGTATCTCATGCACATTTTAACATTTTCCAAAATTTAAGACATATATCAATAAAGTGAAGGAAATAACCAATATAGTCCAAACCTGGCACGTCGGAATATTTACATCATATTTATTAAGCCCGTTACGAAATGGACAATATTCGCCCATTCTTTCGGAACCTATCCCATATAATTTGAATATAAACATAATAGAAGTCAAAATGTATTTAAATAATCGAACATTTTCTGAGGGTATACATCTGTCGGCAAAACCGGCTGACATTTTTTACCTTTTTTTAATCTTGGTTGGCAATAATTTGTTTCGATTTTTGATGAAAATTGTTCTCTTTTCACACATGCATGGAAACACCCCTGATGTGTACAAGGATGTGGGTATCCTGTTTTTTACAGTGTTTTCGGCAGTATTTATTTGTGTAATCTTGCGCTCTTTCCATAAGTTTAGCATATTTCCTATAGTTTTTGCATATTTTTAATATGATCTCTTATGTTTGAACGACAAAAAACATCTCAATACTAAGTTTAAATACGATTGGATAAAAAACATGCACCTCAATAATTACCATAAATCAAAATTTCTGAACTTTCGATCTCTCACACTTAACGCTGTGTGAGAGATCGAAAGTTCAGAAATTTTTTTAATTCGTATTTCCAAATTATAGATTACTTTCAAATTACTTAGTGAACCGCATACCATTATAGCTTACCCTTTAATAGGGCAAAAGGAAATGAGATACACCCATAGTTCCTTTTGATGATCTGCATAGAATCACATTCTGAGTCGATTTTTGCATGTACCTCCGTCTGTCCATGTATTTTTGTAAACAAAGTACAGGTCGCATTTATTGCCCGATTCAAATGAAATTTCGCACAAATAATTTGTTTGACCCAAGGACGAACCCTATTGAAATTGGAGATAATCGGTCAAAATTTAGGTATAGCTCCCATATATGTTTACGTCCAATTTTCCTTATATTGTGCACCAAACTTTTAATATCAGCACGTACGACCAGATTAGACCGGAAAATAAGTATTCCAAAATTGATCGAAATCGGTTCACATATAGATATAGCTCCCATATATATTGTTCATCCGATTTGTTATTTTTGTCCTCCGCAGCCGTAATATGCAATCTGTAACAACGATATTTGGGGAAATATATCAAATATAACTCAGAAATACCCTTGCTAAATTTTATGGAGATCGGTAAATATTTGGATATAGCTCCAATATATATCATCGTCCGATTTTTCTTTTATTGTTCAACAAACGTTTAATATTAGCCCAAATGGAATTGAATTTGGTACTTACCACCGAATTGAGTCTAGAAATCAGTATGTCAAATTTAGTTGAAATCGGTTCAGATATAGCTATAGCTCTCATACATATTGTTCATCCGATTTGTTGAATTTGTCCTGCATAGCCGTAATATGGACTCCGTAGTAACGATATTCGGGGAAATATATCAAATACAGCTCAGAAATACCCTTGCTAAATTTCATCGAGATTAGTTCAGATTTAGATATAGCTCCCATATATATCTATCCGATTTCAAGTTAATTTTGCACCAAATGGATAATACAAGTCCGAATTGAAAAGGCGCAAATGCCTCGACAAATTTAGTAGAAATCGATTCAGCGGAGGATATTCCTCCCATATATTAGTTCCTTTGGATTTTTAATTATTACTATAATCATAGTTGGTATGAATTAATTCTCACAAATTCCCCATTAAAACTTTTATTTGTTATGTGAAGCTCTACTAAATATGCAAAGTGGTGTAGGGTATCATAAAGTTGGCCCCGCCCGACTTTAAGACTTTCTTTACTGGTTAATATGCCATAAATTGGAATATATAAAGAGCCAACCTCATCTCAGCAGATTGGTCGGGACGATGATATATCAGTAATTTACAACTTATCAGTGTTACACACGAGAAAACGACTTTAAAACATTTCACTAAATAACCATTCCAACCAAGAATCCAGATTCCCCCAAAGGCCATAAAAAAAGAAATAATATTAAATAAAAAATAAAACAACGGAATTGGTCTCGAATTCTTAATTACATTTATTGCTGAAACTTGATACAAAAAACTTATAATATACAAAATAATAATATGTACGTATGTAGAGTTGTAAAAAACTTAAATTAATTATAAAACTAAATTATAAAACTGTTATCTTTTTGGCAAAAAAAAACAAGTTTGGCAAATTTAATTGTTTATGTTAAAATAAAGGTTTTTATAAAACTTAAAAATTGGCAAATTGTTTTGATTTTTGGTTTATTTCGTATTAAGAAACTTGGCGCTCACACACAACCGAATAATTGGTGTTTTCACATATTTGTAAACACACTACAAACTTACCATATAATTGTTATTTTCAGACATTTTCCAAAAAATACAATTGTCAATTGTAATTCTTATTGAATATTTCACTTTATTTATTTTATTTTTTTGTTCTTTCTGTTTTTGGTATGGGCTTTATTTTCAATTATTATTATTTATTTTTTTGTCATACGTTTTGTTTTATAGTTCTGTTGTATGTTTGTTGTTTTCTTTTTGATTATATTTGATTACGTAAACAAAATTATGTCTATACTTAAGAGATATATTTTTTTCAGTTAGTTCTTAAAGAATTCGACTTTTTTTGTTTGTTGGTTTTTATCTTAAAAAACTAAATTTGTTACTAAACATTAATTAATAAAAAGAAAATTTCTGTTTTAAGTTTTCTTGGTAATCCTAGCACAGTTATGTATTTAAATTATTTACTAAATATTACAATTTTTATTTATTTTTTTTGTTATTATTTTATATATACAACATACATACGAATATGCTTTTGTTTTCTTTTATTTTATTCCTTATTTAACTTAAATTTAATTTATTTTTTATTTTCCATTTGTTAAGTTTAATTTTCATGTCGTTTGGTTTGTTTGTTTGCTTTTGATTTATTTAAAGATTTTTGGTTTATTTACTTAAATATTTATTTTTTTCAGTTTTTGTTTGAGTTATGTCTATGTGTGTTGGTATGTGTGTGTGTGACTGTGTTTTATTTATTTATTTTTATTGTTTAAATTTGTAAGTTAACAAGAAACACTTAAAATTTAGTTTTGTTTATTTTCAACTTTTGTTTTACTAATCTATTAAGATCTAAATAATATTCTGTAATAATTATTTTCTTTTGTCAATAGTTTGCAGTGACAAATATGTCGTTTAATTATGAATTTTATTAATTTAATTATTTAGTCTATAAATTTGTATTTATTCCTTTGTACAAGGTGGTTCAAAAAAATGGAATAAAACTGATAATTATTTTGGCAATAACATCTTACAGGAAAATTATAAATAATTTTATATCTCGCCTGTGAGAGGACTCTCCAAAAATTATGACACCTTCAATTTCCAAGTTTTTTTGTTTTTTACCCACCCTGTATATTTATGAATTTTTGTATGAAATACTTAGGACTTAGTATTTTAGATTTGAGTTTCCTCGATTTTTTTTCGAAATACCAACATTTTGTCATTCTTCTCTTTGCATATTATTCTAAATTCTCGTTTTATGTATTTATGGCCTTCTAAATTTCTATGTTTTTTGTTTCTTTTCATATTAAACTAATTTTTTATAGACGTCATTTCAGTACTAGATTTGTTAGTTAGTTTAATCGTCGTCATTCTAAATTCGTTATTTACACAATATATAAGTTTGTACAGATTTTTTTTGTGTTTTATTATATTTTCGTTTATTTTCCTTTACCTTCAAACATTTATAAACTTGGGGCTAAGAACAATTGGATTTTTGTTTTATTTACTGTTTTTTCGTTAATTATTAATTATATTTAACATTATTTACATTAATTTATTCTCTAATTTTACTCCAAAAATCCAAGAATGGAGCCGTTTTTTAATTATTATTCATTGGTAAGTATTTGAAGTATGGTTTAAAAAAAAATAAATAAAGACAATACCAAGAACATTACAGTATTACATCACTAAATATATATAGATACACTTTTTAAGTGGCCAAATTTTGATGGTATTTTTGGTAGTTGTTGTTTCTCTTGTAAAACTTAACTTTGTAGTAGGATTTAGTTTTTTACTTCCATTCAAAAAATAAACAGTTCAATGAAATATCGGAAGTATATGAAGGCATGAATATGAATTAACAATCTAAGTACAATGGAGATTGAAAAGTGTATATTGTTTGGAGGTATGTATGTTAAGGGGAAACTTCTGAGTTTAACTATTTCAAAATTAATTAAATAGGTATTTTATTAGTATATTTTAATTTTTAATTTTTAATTAATTTTTTAGACAAACCCGTGAAAAAATGTTGCGAAAATCATCAAAATATTGAATATTGGGAGGTACTGTTATGTAGGGGCTATTCCAAACGTGGATTGAAATATCTTCTTTTCAATACCAACCATCCTAGACACAATGTAAACTACTGTGCCAAATTTTGAAGCTCTACGTCAAATAATGTGAGCTGTATTGTGATTTCAACAGACAGACAGATGGCAGACTCGCTCGAGTATTAAAATTGCCGACCAACATGATCCTCGCATTATTATCACTAATATTTCCAAATACATTATAAGCTTAAACCGCACAGATTCCAAGGAATCTTAACCTGATAGTTTAAAAAAATTGTGAAGAGGGGGGAGCTTTCCTCTTCTATTTAGGCTACTTTGGGACCGGTGAATTGGCAGCCTATATCGTGGGACTCAATGCCTTTAGACAATTTTGTTTGAGGCTATATTAAAGCTCATGTCTAAATAGTCGAGTTCTCTTTAATTGAAGCACTGCGAAACATTTTTGGAAAGAGTAGGCCAAAAATGGACAAATTCGAATGGACCATATACGGTGCGGTTGCGTTCAAAATTTCCACGAAATAATATTCAAAAACTATATTATATGTATATATGTATCAATTCCAATATAGACCTTAAGTAGTTTTGGGCTTTATGTGTGTGTGTGTGTGTTTTTTTTTAACAATTTTCCTAAAGCTCTTAACACATTTCCCTTTAGTTTAGTTGTCAACTCTAACGAAGAACATAAAATTTATTTTAAAGTTGACAGCACTGTTCTCTTCATCTCATTCCCCCAAAGGTAATCGTGTAAATACGGCTAAAGTCTATAATTCTTTATAATATCGACTGCTCCTAAAAGTATGCTTTAATGAAATGGATTTGTTTCAACAAAACCTTTAAAACCTTTTCGTATTATTTAATTCAAAGAGAAATAATTAGAAGGAATGAAAACTTAAATTATTTTCATACTATTCCCTTAAATTATTTAACTGCATAATTGATTAATTGTCATATCAAATTAACTTGGGAAAAATAGGCTTTGTAGAAACTTTCTAAAAATTTATTTAATTAATTAATATTCTATAATAATTGGCAAATACTCAACTTTCACTTGCAGGCAGTGCAGTGTCGTACTTGAGACACAATGGACATTAAGTTGAGTTTGGTTGTGCTCAAAGTTTTTCTTTTTTTGACCTGGATGTATTAATTATGCCCTCAATATGGGAAACACTACTTTCCAAAGGTCACTTGCCGTCTGGAGTTCAGTTAAAAATGGTTTTTCTAGTATTTTTTAATTTTTTATCTTTTTAACCGACTCAAATGTTTCCCATATATACATACATACCCATTTTTAGAGAGAAAATAAAAACGAATGAAATATCCTTTTTTTCTTTCTTGATCCTTGAACGATGAACTCACATATACATAGAAATGTACGTTGAAGTCTTAGACATAATATTCATTTTAATTATTTGTTGTTATTCTAGAAGGTTTCCATTCCTAGACTAGGGAAATGAACGTATGTACGAACGTATGCATGTGTGTGGGATGTTTTTTTTTTTTCAGGGAAAAAATTGGTAGGTTGTCTGTTTGGTTGCATAGATTCTTGCCATTGTTGGGGGGTATGGAGCAGAATAAAAGATAACAGGGAATAATGATACGCCATGACTGACAGACACACTGTCTAGTGACGTTTGAGTGATTGATAGACATACATACAGATGTAGAGATAGCGATTTTATGCAGTGATTTCAATTCTCATCAATGTTTATGTTATATTTGGCTTATGTTAATTGTTGTTGTTGTAGCAGTTGCAGTTGTTGGTGCTATTACAGTCAAGGGTTTATTCAGCTCAGTTTGTTGTTGTAGTTGTTGTTGGTGATGGTGGTGGTGACTGTGTAGATGGTGTTGGTGTTCGTATTATTTCAGCGTTGGATCCAATGTTGTAAATTCCAATTCACCTCGGGGCAATATCAGATCAGGGTCTGTAATATATACTTTTGTTGTTGTAATATGCATACATGTTGTTTGTTGTTGGATTTTAACGGTTAGTTTGTATACGAAAAATAAAAGTTAATTGAAGTGTTAGATTTGGTATAGTTAGTGTTTTTTTTTTTTATTTTAAGCATAGGCAAGTTTAATTAGTTTTGTATACAAGTGCAGAGAAAGAAAGAGAGACAGAGTGAGTGAGCGAGTGTGTGTGTGCATGTGCATTTTTTTTGCAGTTGGTTTTTATTTGGTTCAAAATTTTTGGATTTGTGTTTGCGCCATTATGATTTTACGTTTAAAAGTTTGAAAAATTATGGTTAAACATATAGAGTCATAGAAATGAAAATAGGCAAACATGTTGGAAAAAATTATATATGAAAAAAGAGAGAGGAGAGAAAGACAGAGACATAGAGATGTGAAACCCATATTTTAGAAAAAGTTTTTTATAATTAGTAGAATTACTTGGATACAAGCATTGAGCTTTGGCTTCATTAAAAGTATAAACATAAATTAAAGCAGTAGCAGCAAATAGAAAATACAAACACACACACATACGCAAACATCCTATGTATAAACATAGACACACACAAACACAAATAAAATCCACTTAAACAAATAAAAAGCACAAATACATACACAAGCAAAGGCACACTCAAACAAAACACACACACACATACAAGATCCGTATCAAATGAATGAACCATATCAAACTTCAAATGAAAAATAATATTCCTGCAAATTAATTTTGTTGTGCTGCTTCTTCATTTTCTCTCTCTTCGGTTTCTACTCCGCCTTGTGCTATGTGATTGCTATGATGAAGATGACGATTATGATTTAATGATATAAACTTACAAAAGTTATTAAAATATAATTAACGTAAAATCTTTAAGAGATTTAAGATTTATTTTGTTTGTGTAATAACTAAGATTGAAATCTGTGAATAGAATATTAATTGGCCGGCGGAAAAGAAAATGTTTTCTAGGAAGTGGGATGTCGGTAAAAATTGACATTAGGCTACGTAGTCACGCAAATTGTTTTCATTTCCCGCTAGGTAGGATTTTAGGATATTTATTAAAAAATACTGAATATTTAAAAATTTGAAGAATTTCTAAAATTAATGTACTTTAGCAAGGCTAATAGAAATTAATCGTTCTAACAATATTGATTGTGACATATTGGAGTTTTGCAAGAAATGGTGTAAATGAAAATTGTGAATGGTTAATGAAGAGATAGATTATAATTTTTATTGGCAAAGTTGAGAGAAAGGATTGAGAGCTACATGTCACACAAGCAATTAAACTGTAGCTCTTTTAGCAGGAAACATCTGGCAACTTCTTCTTTTAAGGTCATGTGTAAGGTAAGGTCTACCTCAAGAGTCCAGCATTGATTAAAGACCTTAAAACTGGAAAGAAGAACAATGCGATTGCTTTAGCATAAACATGAAATCGAAAAGATAACACTCTACTGCAAAATTTTGAGGAGTGCAAAAAGCTGAAAAAACCAAGTGACCATTGCTTTCGCAGTAGTAGTTATCATCAAACAATGCAAAGCTGTCAGTTTCGTTTCGAATAACATTATTCTCTCTTATGGAGAATAGTACGAAGATGAGCGAATACTTCAGACAAAGCAATAGAGTACAAAAATCACATTTAATATCAGAATTTTTTAAATCCGAAAAGAACGTTTCGTTGCAGCTCATTCTGAGTAAAGGTATGATGTTTTTATACCCTACACCACAAGGTGGTCAGGGTATTATGTCTTTGTGAATTTGTTTGTAACAGGCAAAAGGAAACGAGATAGACCCATAGTTCCTTTTGACGATCTGCATAGAATCACATTCTGAGTCGATTTCTGCATGTCCGTCCGTCCGTCTGTCCGTCTGTCCATGTATTTTTGTAAACAAAGTACAGTTCGCATTTACTGCCCTATCCAGATGAAATTTTGCGCAAGTCATTTGTTTGACCCAAGGACGAACCCTATTGAAATTGGAGATAATTGGTCCAAATTTAGATATAGCTCCCATATATCTTCGTCCGATTTGCCTTTTATTGTGCACCAAATATCAGTCCGAATAGTATGGAATTTTGCAAGTACGATCAGATTGGACCTGAAAATAAGTTTGCCAAATTTGATCGAAATCGGTTCAGATATAGCTATAGCTCCCATATATATTGTTCATCCGATTTGTCATTTTTGTCCTCCGCAGCCGTAATATGCACTCTGTAACAACAATATTTGGGGAAATATATCAAATACAGCTCAGAAATACATTTGCTAAATTTTATCGAGATCGGTTCAGATTTGGATATAGCTCCCATACGTAACTTCGTCCGGAAGGTAAATACCTTTGATTGCGCACCAAACGTCTAATATTTGTCCAAATGGGATGAAATTTGGCACTTACGACTGAATTGAGTCTAGAAGCTAGTATGTCAAATTTGGTGAAGATTGGTTCAGATATAGCTATAGCTCCCATATATACTGTTCATCCGATTCGTCATATTTGTTACCCACAGCCGTAAAATGCACTCCGTAACAACGATATTCAGGGAAATATATCAAATACAGCTCAGAAATATTTTTGCCAAATTTTATCGAGATCGGTTCCGATTTGGATATAGCTCCCATATATATTTTTATCCGATTTCAAATTAATTCTGCACCAAATGGGCAATACAAGTCCGAATTTAAAAGATACAAATGCTTCGGCATAATACTACTACTCTACTAAATTAGCAAAGTGGTATAGGGTATCATAAAGACGGCCCGCCCGACTTTAAAACTGTCTTTACTGTTTTTTTTTTAAATTTCGACGTTTTATCCAAATGGTGTAGTGCATTAAAAGCTGCTTATTTACTTGTTAATATTTTTATTTGACAAAAAGTCAAGTTTTCACCTTATGAAGGTTCTAACATATTGGCCCTGGCAAAATCAACGTAGTTTTTACTTGTTTAAATATATTTATCCCATTTTATTTGGATTATTTACATAAAACACAATGTAAGCATTCTGTGATCTTACGCCTAGTTTATCGATAATACTAAGATTCCAAAAAATGTGAATCCTGGGTGGATTGTTCGATTTAATATATATATGCAAAGTAGCATTTATACTAGCGCTAAACCCGCCTACATAACTTTGTTCTTAACTGGTGAACTCTTAATTCTCCCCTACATTCAATTATGTTTTTACTCTCCAGTCGTATTGCCCTTTCTCCGTCTGTTTCCCCTTATTTTCTCCACTTATTTCCTCTCTTACACAATAAGTCCTACTCCCCCTTCTCCGTTGGACTAACATCAAATGTCTTAATTAACTATCTCTGTGATTCTAATAAAAATGGTTTTAACTTGAAACATTACCAAGAATTGGATTTAGCCAAAAACGAGAATTTATCAACATGAAAGTCTTATAAAACGATTTATCATCTTTTCACATTTAATTACACAAAACTTACTTAAGTTTCGACAAGGTTTAACATTTCATTGTGGTTTGCCCTGGTTTTAGTTGAATTTGGCAAACTTTGTTGTTGCCATTCTTTGTTGTTGTTGCTGTTCTGCTGCAGACCTCCGCCCGAAGGCAATCTGCCATATCTTATGCTGTAGAATAATTCTATGATGACTGTAGTTAATTAAAATTCATGCAACGCCTTGATATTAATTATCGAAAACGTCTTATGAATAATTGAAAATCTTGTCTTTGTCTCAGCTGAAGGGAAGCTATTCAAAGAGCAAAATGTTGGCAAAAAGAGTTTGCGCCATGGCCTAAAGCATTCTATTGGCTGTGTCTTCTTCTTTGGGTCTGGTTGGTAAAATTAAAGTTTTAAACTAAACATTTGATAAATTGCAAAGTGTTTTTGAAATGTTTGTCTCCATGTCCGTGGAGACTTTTTCTTTGGATTTAAACAAAATGAATTGTCTGCTATGTTTATGTGTTCTACAATAAAGTGACCCTCTTGCCGGCTATTCATGACGGAATGTCGTTGTTGTTGTGCGTGCTTTGTAATAAAAAAAAATGTATACTTTAACACTACTTCAGGATATGTGGTAGTGTGTGTTTCCGCAGGGGGACATTTATGTACTTGACAAACAAACATAGACGCACACAGTCAGTGACAACAGCATAAACAATGAAACGTCAACAACTAGATTTGAGTCAGTGACAGTAAAATCATTGTTTATGAGTCTCTTGTTCTACGTGTTATCCCAGCAAACGTTTTTGGAAGGCATATGAGCATAATAACTAAATATAAGGTAAAAAATATATGACATGTACCTTGAAAAACATTTTCAGGTAAAAATGAATCATTTTACGCATTACCAAGTAATGGATAAAAGTGGCACAGAGTGATTACGCCCGACTTCAAAACGTAGGGTTCTTACAACGTAACAAAAACAATAAATTAAGAAAAACCAGTAAAAAAAATAAAAAATCGACCGAATCGACACAATTTGAAGTAAATCATACCCAATACGATGTTATTGTATGCGTATTACGACTTTAGAGCGGTCGAGCATGGAAAGCTAAAGGAATGAACTGTATATGGAATCAGTATCATAATTTAAATCGATTTCCACTAAAATTGAATATGTGAATATTAATGGCTCTGATAGCCCTTGACAAAATATTTTTAAAATTGCCAGCTTATGGTGATAGTCCTTGAAAGTATATTTTTATTTAAAATCCACAAATATGGCCCTGATAGTTATTTATAAACCATTTAAAAAAAATCCAAGTTCATGACTCTGATTGTCCTTGAAAAAATATTTAAAACAAAATTCACGCTTATGGCTCTGATAGTCCTTGAAAATATTTTTAAAAAATCCACGCTTATGACTCTGATAGTCCTTGAAAATATTTTTACAAAATCCACGCTTATGACTCTGATAGTCTTTGATTTTTTAATCCACACTTATGACTTTTTAAATCCACGTTTATGACTCTGATAGTCTTTGAAAAAATATTTTTAAAAAATCCACGACTATGGCCCTGATAGTCCTTGAAAATTTAT